AGCAGGATCACATTGTATTACAATATTTTGCTGCCAGCACCACTTGTACTTTTCTAATTCTGTAGTTTTCCAGTCTGGTGATCCTAAACAAGAGATTCAGTCAAGGTGGACTTGCTTTCCTGAAAATTAGCTGATCCATCATTTCCAATTTCAATGTGCAGCAACTAAAGAATACTGATGATATTATAGAGTCCATTCTCTATTTAACAATGAGATACAACATGCCTGGCCAATATTCAATAAGAACTTATAATGAATTTATTCCAGAGAACATATTAATGTAATAGAATGGTACTGGAAGGAGATACCTTCACAGGAAAAACATGTGATGGGTTTCCTAAACAATTTGAAAACAATATATGTGCCCTTATTGTAAACAGCAAATTCAAATTTTAAATTACTGCTGCCGCCAATATTTGTAAAACAAGGTTTTGAAAAACTAGTATAGTTTACAGTTTGAAATGATATCACCCAAATCAGTCTTCTATAGAATGAGATATACAGTTTAAGTGACATGAAAAACTAGCATCATTATAGAATACTACAAAGATTGCTGGATTTATATTTTAGAAGGTTGAAGCTATGACAACATATGATCTCATTGTTAATTCCTTGTATCCCTTTACTATCAATAAAAGGATGAACCATAGATTAGAACAGACTCCAGCCAACATATTACATTCTACGCTCAGTAATGTAATTATCATGTTATGTCTTACATTCTGTCTTTTCAATAAATATTTTCATTCAAGGAAAGGCATGATAGAGGAGCCAAGAAAAAAGAATAGGAAAAATAGTGCCACAACATTTGTATTAGGATTCAACTTTGGATTTAGCCATCTAAAAATAAAATGGCAGTTATAAAAATGTATTATGATTTTTATTTATATTCATATAGGTCTTTCATTGTAAATAATTTGAGAAGAGCCAAAGTTTTGAACTGAATCAAATTTATTTCCTTAATTAGTAAGAAAAGGAACCCCCCTCCCTTGCATATTCCATTTTTCCATCAAACTAAAAAACAAACAAACCACACCTGACATTAAAATTAGTCTGTACTGTACTGTACTGTACTGTACATGAAATTTAGTTTGGTACAGACGTGATAAAAATTATCAAAGTGCCCCGGACATTTAGATAAAAAAAGGGGTAATCAGCTGGTGGTGAATGTTCTCACAGAACTGGCAGTATACTGTAGAAGAACATGAGCTATGGTACCCATGTCACAGGGGCACTACCAGCTTTTGTGTGGGGGTTTTCCTATATTTCCCTTCCAGGACAGTTGTGCAGAGAACATTAAATTGAGCTAAAGGTAAGGCTCTCCTGACTTTGGGAATTGTGATATAAGTAAAAAGCTGGTTTAGGAACTAAAATGTGGTTATAAGCTTATATTATTAGGAAACAAAGCAGCAATTTCAGTTTGACCTACTATTTTAAGATCCTTTGTCTTAGTACTAATATAGCATGATCTGACTCTAAGGTTAAGAGCCCAATTTCTTTTGGATCACTATTTCCCAGGAAGATTTGTAGTTGTTTGCCAATATTAGATGGGTCAGTTCACTGGGACTGTTGCATAGTTTTAACTATTAAGTAAAGATATTTATACATAGAATCTACTGGCTCCTACTTCCTGTCAAAATACTGCATTTGGAACCAGCAGGTAACCTGGAAGATACTATTTAGAAATTTTGTTTGAATCTTTTCTAAGGCCATCATACTGTCATATGGTCCTAAATAAGTTCCATATAGCAATGGTGCTTGAGCTTTAGCTGCTAACAATGTAATTGCAGCAGGGTAAACAATAAGTTTGTAAAGCTGATGCAGATCTCTGTGTATTGAGGATAGGTAGTCCAGGTGAATGTCTATGGAGATTGTCAATCATCTAGGTCAATAGGGTGTCCTCAAAGTGTTTTTTCCAAAAGGCAATTGGACTTCCTTGGTTTTTTTCTTTGAAAACATTTTGCTTCTCATCCAAGAAGCTTCTTCAGTTCTATGTTTCTGCTTTCTGAAAATTGAAAAACTATTCCTAGATATCTAAAAATGAATGGACTGCCTACTTAAGTTACAGCTTCTCTGTTTTCTGCATTTTTTAAAAAAATAAGAATCATATTCTTGGTGTTATTTATTTTTTGTTGCTCCTCAATACATACAAGAGTGATTTCAAAGCTCTTTTAAGGCCAATGGAGGTTAATGACAGAATTATAATAAATTTGTATGTCTTTGGGATATAATTTAGACGTATATAAAATATAGAGTTATTTAAATGAAGATCTAAGGAGTCTATATAGCAGTTGAATAAAACTAGAGCCACTACACATCCCTAACTCCCTTCCTTATGCGTATTTCCTTTATGACATATCCTTGACTACTGCACGTAACCTTCAAAATCATATATTCATGCACTTTAATGAGGAGCAAGGGTAGACATTTGTCAACTGTGGTATTTTTTTATTTTATACCATAATGTACTTCTAGATACTATGCTGGAAACTGACTTGAAATTGATAAATGCTGCATAGAGGAATTGTCCTATATTATGGGTATTCTTTTCTACTAGATGTTGCAGTACCGTGTTCATCCCTCAGAAAGTCTTCAAATTCAAACTACAAATAGCCCTTGACTTATGACCACAATTGAACCCAAAATTTCCATTACTAAGCAAGACAGTTGTTAAATGAGTTTTGCCCCATTTTATAACCTTTTCTGACACCGTTGTTAAGCAAATCAGCGCAGTTGTTAGATGAACCATGCAGTTGTTAAATGAATCTGGCTTCCCCCATTCACTTTGTTTGTCAAAAGCTAGCTGGAAAGGTTACAAATGGTGATGACACGACTTTGGGACTCTGTAACTCATAAATACACGTCAGTGACTCAGTGAGTTTGACACCGTGATGATTGTAGAACCTGAATCAGCATATAGAGAATAGGAATAAGCTACAGAGGTTTGTAGCTTAAAAAACTTTATAGGTGAAATCTTAAAAGCACACAGTGCTGAGCATAATGGATTTATTTTAGAGTAAGTATACATTAAGTGCATTGTGAATATGCTTTAATTACTTGCTTTTCTTAATAAAAACTGATTCTAAGATAGCAAATTTTCAGAAACTCCTAATAATTGTTATTTTCCAATAACATTAAATTACATTCACATTACTATGACTCTTATTTTTATCTAATTTTTCTCTTCTATGATATATATACTTATATTCCTTAAAGTATACTTATTGCAAGCTATAAAAATAGGAACAGAATATTTACTTACATTACCTGCACTTTAAATATTTCATTATTGTCTGCTAAAATTTAGACAATAATTTATGTCCCCATTGACATAATTATCTCCACTACTTAATTAAATGGAGATATAATACAATAATAGAATCCTAGTTTCTTGCTGTTTTAATATCTGTTATTTTCAGATGCTTTATTCTAGTAGGGACTTTCTGAATATCAGTCATTCAAAGCAATAAATGTATATTTAAATACTAGCTTTCCAGTAACACTAAGGAATAATGTAATTTATTTTAAGTCAATTATTAATATTATGAAGTCATGGAACTTTGGTTTGTGTATGCACAAAGATGGAAAGATTCGGCATTTACTACAATGGGGGAATAGTTGGTGAAGATGATGGAACTTGTTGAGATGATAAAATGACTTATTTGATCAGAGAAAAGATAATATATACATTCATTGCTCACTGGAAACCTCTTTTAGCCTTTTTGCATGAAAGAAAAAAATGAACTTATGATTCATGGTTTTGATTAGACAAAATAGATTATAGAAAGATTATGTTGTAACCGTAGAATAAGAGGTAAATTTATAATTGTATTTATAATTGCTACAAAGATCAGAAGCTACTACTTTGTATCTTTTCTTTTCTATTTTTCTTTTACTGTTTCTTTCTTGCACTCTTAGCTTTCTCTTTGATTTCTTCTTTTTCTTATGTTAATATGATTTTTTAAAAAGATCTTTAAAAAGATCTTTAATAAAATTATACAAAAATACCTATTATGCAAAATATTTTTCATTCCCAACATATAGATGATAGGCAAGAATAAGATCGACATAGCATGGCTTGATCCAAACCATGCAGTGAATTGATAAGAGGATGAGAGTTTGTTTTGCACCATATATTATTATCAAAGACCAATTTTTATAATTATTTTGTATGTGGGGGTATCTCTATTACACTCATTCAGAGTTGCTTATTCTTTGGTGTTTTGGTAGAACAATAGTGTGAGATGATAAACTATTAAAACTAAAATTTTATATGTTAAAAGAAATTTATAGTGAATTGGAAAAATCTACACCATTCGGCCATTACTGTTAAAAAAAATCATTCTGTGTGGTTTCATAACTCTTATTAACCAAAGGGCTAAGCATTCAGAAAATAGCTTCCACCTTTTATATCACTTTTTGACACAGCAAATAATTTGAATAATAACATCTATTATCCTTAGTCTACCTACATGTTTTAATACTGTTAATCTAGTATTAGTTGGCAATGCAAATGCTATTCTAGAAAGGTAAAAATGAATTAGAGTTCTTGAGTAATTGTAGCAGCTTAAAGATACTTCTTTAAAAATAATTTATTAATTTATTTATAAAATTTATTGGCCGCCCATCTTACCACAAGGTAACTTATGCTAACTTGTATCTGTACATATCATAATAGATGTCATATCATGTATGAATTTTTACTGCATTTGAATAATTGTGCCTAAGTACTAATTTGTTGCATAAGAATTGCATAAGTACTAATTTGTTGCATAAGAACTGATTGATTGATTGACTGATTTTATGCCACCAAGTCTGTTGTTGTTATTTGGTGACCACATAGATAGACTTTCTCCAGGATGGTATTTCTGCAGCTTCATCTTTTAGTCTCCAGTAGTGGAATTATCACCATTATAGTGAAGTCTACCCATTTTTCTGCAGAACGTCCTCTTCTCTTTTTTTCCATCCTTCCCAAAATTCTGCTTCTAATTATGTTAATAATCTTTTTAATTTTCCTATTGGTTTCCTGTTTTATCTTTTTCTTCATTTTCAGTTTAAAAAGTGATTTAATCTTTGAACATGTATGATTATTTTAACAGAATGTAAATAGATGTAATAGAGACTATTGGGAAAAACACTCCTTTTATTTTAGAATATTTTGATAGTGCCCCTTTAAATCACTAAGCCAATATTATTGCATGCATTTAATGGAAACAATGTAAGAACTCGGTTCTAAAATTGATAAAAAAAAGTTTTTGATAGCAACTCAATAAAGAGGTAGGCCTGCAGGAGACATCTATGCTCAAAATGCAAAAAAGGAGCTAATACAGAAATGTACCATTTTTTAAGTGTTCTAATTGTAACCATTTGCATATATTGAAAAACACAATTTGTTATTCACATTTTAGGCACATTCATCTTTTTATTTATTTTATGAGTTTGGAATTCTATTTTCAATATAAAAAAAAACCCTGTTCTACTCACAAAACACACACACTTAAATAAAACTGAGACTAAAAATAAACCCAAGAAAAACCTTGATTGCATTTTTAACAGACCCTGATAGCTACACTGAAAGATTCATTAAATGGTTATGATAAAAAGATTTTAAATAAATCAATTTACAATAATTTATTTAAAGATTAAATAAAAATCTAAAAAAATAAGACTCCACCTGGTACCAACAAGTATCAGTTTGTATCAGGCAAATCTCCTTGGGAAGAACTTCTGGGGGAAATGATTAAGCAAGTCTTCTCTCTTCCCCATGAAATGTGTAGCAAACTTTTTTTTAAAACAAGGAAAGTGTAACAACAAAATTAACAGAGCCAGATCAATTCCAGGGAAGACCAGTTATAAGGTAGACTACTTACAAGAACAGAACATCATTGCTTGTCACCTATACCTCAATTCATTCAAACATACTACCCATACTGGACAATGGCATTGCACTTTCTCAGGTACTGGATGGCAGGACTGTATTGCATGCAGACAACCATCCATCCTGAAGCTGATTTTCACAAGTAATCAGAAACAGGGAAATAATACTGATGAGATAACCAGACCCTGCACTCTGCAGTTGCCTACTTGCCCCTCGTTTATAGTAACAGCATCATCACAAGTTTCAATAACCTTCACACACAAGGTTAGCAGTGCCTTCGCACACTCTTCCTCCATCTGCCAGCAATGCCCTTCTGAATGCTACATAGGACAATTTGCACAAAATAATTAACAGACATAGATTTCACATTAGACTCAAAGTAATACCAGCATTTCAACGTGTGATTTTAATCATTACAGATTTGGAGGAAACAAATAAAAGTCCCCAGTACAACTGAATGAGAGACAGCTGAGCTCACCTACATTAAAAGGTTTCAGGCCATCTCAAAGGTCCCAAATATAATGTAACTCAGTATAATTACTGATAGAGCATGTGTAATCTGTCCTATATGTCATCTCTCTCCCTCCTCTTCACTCCCAAGTCTAATTTAAATCATATATTAGTCTGTGCATCTGAAGTGAGTTGTAGTTCACTAAAGCAAATAAATGCCTTTTAGTAGAAAACGGCCCTACAAGACTCCGGGTTTCGAGCTACCATAGACTAACACGATTCTCTTCTCAGAAGTTTTTAAGGTACAGTATAAACATTATTGATTCTGGCACTTGACCATCTGCTGAAACTGGGGAATAAAATTCTACCTAAGCCCAGTGTTTGCACTGGCACCAACCACCAGTGCGGCGGAGTATCTGGGAAGCCCGCTGACGACTTCTGTGACATTTGCTGGCTCTAAAAAGTACTCCTCTCCCCTGGCGTCGGCACATGTTAAAGTCGGCTCTGCCTGCGAAGCCAACGACCGGAGGAGAGTAAGCGGTGTAAACTGACTGCAGACGGAGCCCCAGCGAGTAGCGAGAGCTCAGGCAAGCCTTGCCCTGTTTTGTGGGCACCATAATCTTTTGGACTGATAAGCCACGGCAGGAAGGTAAGGATGTCAGCGGGCGAGCCCTAGTGCTTGTGCAACAGCTGGGGACACCGACGCGGGGCATCGCTGGCTTCCCTCCCGCCAAATTCCAACCGCTTCCAAAACTTTCCTCTCACCCCCCGCGTCTCGCGCCTTTTTAAGCGCGCGTGCCCTGGAAGGGGTCGCCCAACGCCTCCTCTCCCCGGACTTTGCTCAGCCGCTTCTCTCCCCGCCCCCCCCCTCTCCTGGCTCTCCCTTCCTTCCTCTTCTCGCTCGCGCTCGCTGGTTCCAGTCGCGTCCGATCTACTTCGCGCTCTAAATTGAGTCGCTTGGCCGTCGCGCCCGCTTTTACCTCAGAGGCTTTCCGGGCTTCACCTCGATTTCGCGTTGCCCAGAGGGAATTGCCCTAACACCTCAAGAAACCAGACCCACCGGTACTTGTCAGCATTACCAAACTAATCCCCGCCAGGGGGACGCTACTCTGCGGTTGCTCTTGGAGGGCGGGTTGTGACTATAGAGTGCGCCGGAGGCCAGTGCTAGAGTTGGCTACCGCCTGATAACAATAGAGTTTCTCTTTTCCCATGGTCTAGACTAACCACAGCTTGGAATCAGAGAGTTGCGCGTCTGTGGGCGCTAGAGCGGCAAAGCGATGGGTATGCTTGAGGCCTTTGGAGTCTGGTTTTGTACCCTTCCGTGCCATTTTGTTGCGAGCAAAGTACCACTAAGTCTACATACATAGGATCGTATCATGCTACTTGAGGGTATTCAGAAGTGACTTCAAATAAGCAACTTTAGTATTGCAATCTTGGCCTGTGTCTCACAAGAAGAGTATTAGGTGAAATATTTACAGACGCAGCGGCCAAGCGAACAATAAAACAATTCAAACACAGGTGTGCGTTTAAAACAGCTTGATCAATTCTACTCCAGGCTTTACGTTCGGGCTGGGAATTTAAAGTTGAGAGCTGATAGTGCACATCTTCCTTTTCTGGGCAATGGGAGGGAGTGAAAGAAAGGTTTGGACCTAAAAAATCCGTTCTTTTCATCTTGAATTCAGAGATTTTGTTTTCACAAGAAATTACTGAAGGGAGGCGGCTTTTGGGTTGGACATACATTTGAAATGTTGAGAATTTGTGCACCCTCACAAAATGATTGCCTATTCACCAATTAACCTCTGTGTTGGCTGTGGCTAGTAAAAAAAAAAAAAAAGCCCGGCTTACAGGACACTAGAAATAGTTCCTCAACGTGATGAAATGACATCCATTGGGATTGGGTCATGAAGAATTGGAATTGACTGAACAATCGAATAACGAAGTGGTGAGATTGCTCATCACTTTCTTTTATTAACCAAAGTTATCTTGGCATTTCTTCTCAGCAGTCACTATTTTTATACCTATTTTTATATGGGTTTTAGCTGCATTCTTGTAAATATATTAGAGCAGGGGTCTTCAAACTTGGCCTTTTTGACTTGTGGACTTTAACTCCCAGAATTCCTCAGCTAGCGTGCCTGGCTGAGGAATTCTGGGAGTTGAAGTCCACAAGTCATAAAAAGGGCCAAGTTTGAAGATCCCTGTATTAGAGGCTGGTACCATTGTTTTTGCAGCATGCCTATGAACCATAGAATTTTAAACAAAATACCTGCTTTCCCTTACTAGAGATAAAAGACTGATCGCCTCAATCAATGTTTCCTTAACATGGTACAACATATGGTGCAATTAAAAATCAATCTCTTGCATGTGCTATATCCTCCTCACCTGATGTTTCAAGAACACCACATTGCTTTACAATAGGATATCTCTGAAGCACATTGCTCCCAAAGTACAGTTTCAGTACTGTAGTTCATTCTAGGGTAGTATTCTTGTTTATTTATTGCCAGCAGTGATAGAAATCTAACTGCACTTTGTAGACATGAGTGCTTTAGTTGGGATATGGGCTGCAAAAATCCAGTAGGCCACTAGGTGATCACAAATTCTTGATTACTTTCCTGAGATTGACTGAGCTTCAGCCCCAGTGATAGAAATTTCTGCTTTTCTGCAGAGCTCTTAATGCATGCCAGAGGATTTGCTCTGCAGGAGTGTAGAATAACTAATAGTGAACACAAATGACAGTATCTTTGTTCTCAGTAAGTAAAAAACTCAGAATGCAAACCTTTAGGACATTTTTAGGACATATTTTTTTCTCCAGGGGCTATTTAGGAATACTTTTAAGTTTAATGCAAAGTATACCTCCTTTTTGAGTTAGCATTTATTATTTAATGGGTTTTTTTTAAAAAAAAAAACTTTGGGGGATTGCTCTGTTGCTCTTTATTTTTTTAAAATAATTTCATTATAATAATTCACTTCAGAGACTTTGCCAAAAATCAGCTTAATGCTTCAAATAAGTCCTGTAATAATTGGAATTAGACTAAGATCAGTGAGATGCAAATAACATTCAATCACAGAAACTCACTAGATTATTTGGCCAACTATCTCACCATTCAATTTACTTTATAGGGGTGTGCAGAATTAATTGGACAAGGGAGTATTATATGTGCAGACTTTGCCAACTGGAGTTAAAGTGGGATGTAAATCTAAGGAACAAAATAATATCCAACAGGCTTTGAAGAAAACATGGGATAAAATGTTAATGATATAATAAAAACAGACAGGCATCATTATTTATTAACACAAGACAAGAAAGACACAATCAATGCATTAATGGAACACTGTCCAGCCAGATGTTAAAATCTTTTAAAAAGTATATCTAAAACCTAATTTCAAATAAATAAAAAAGACTTTTTACATAATTACAGAGTTGTGATTTGAATCTGACAATGGTAAACGTATTGACATCAACAAAAGCAAAAAATGATTAAAGACAATGATCTATTGTTTTTACAATCATATCTCCATCACAGTTAAGCTTGGCCCATCATTGTTAAACTGCACAATAAAAAATTGAAAGGCAAACATATTTAACTAAAAAGGCCTATTTTTGAAAAAAATGTGAAATATGGTTTTGTAGTTTGTGTTCAGGGTAGTAAGTTCATTCTCAGGAATAAGTGTTCTAATTGCTTCATATCAATATATTTTAGTAATTGAAAAATGTGAATTCAGAGGTTTTTGTTAGTAAAACTGCATTCATGGGATAGTCCTGCTAGAAGAATTTAGGAAGGCAATTCTATTACTACCAACACCCCATAAACCTCTTAAAAGCAAAGTGTGAAAGAAACATGTTATGAGAATTGCAGGGTATTCATAGATCTCCCCCACTTCCACTGTTGGAATTTAATCTTGGGCTTATGAAAACAGCAGTCCTTCCATTTGTAGAAGGAATACTTTGATCCAAGCCATTATATTTAAATTAAGTATTACCTGAGCTAATAAGAAAATCCAAAAAGCCAAGGCTGAAAATGCTGGCTCTAACCTCTTTGGATATATGAAAAAGTATTACCATACAATGATTATGTGGAATGGGGACAAAAAAGGACAAGCTAACTCCAGAACCTACAGAGAACTACATCCTTACTGTGTTTCATGTGGAATCTGTAATGTCTGATGGTGAACACAGAATAGCATACCCAAAGCCACACTGAGCAAATCAGTGTCAGAACCCCCATAAAGAGAGCACTGATTCTACAATCATTCCTTTGGAATCTCAGCCATTTGTATAAATTATTGAAAGGCAGATATGTATGGCACTGAAGAGGTCTCAGGGTTAAAGAGTAACATTGAAATCCTTGGTGTATTAATTATAAATCTTTGGAGAAAGTATATTAAAATCTCACATTAACAGGGAAGAAATAAAATACTTAACAATTAGCTCAAAGAGAAAAATGATATATTTGAAGTTAATGTTGAAAACAAAACTTGAAGTATTTCAAATTAGAAGATCTGAAATACTATTTTCAAATGATTTTCTATACTGCACATTGTAAGTCTACTATATTAAATGTAATAGGAATCTAAACATAAGTGTAGAAAAGACTACTACAACCATGGATAGAGAACTAGGCTCCGGTTTCATTCAGTAGGATGTTAAAAGTGTTTTTATTATAAAAATTGAGACCTCTTAAGAGCCACATTGGAGAGAATAAATAAAGGCTGGAATACACAGAACATTTATATGCTGAAGGCCTTCTGTTCCCATGTGGAGTGCCAGCAACTGTTTTATGTGTGTTTGTTTTCCAAACTATTGCAAACTACAAGTTAAAACAACTTCAGCATGGAGTGCATTTTAATTTACATAGCAGCACCACACTGTGGAAATACTGATAACACAAAATATTCAAACCGTCTCCATTAAAAACCAGTAGTTATTATTTCAACGATTTGACGTAATGAACCTCCCTCCACCCTGTACTATTTTTGCCGTAATTCTTCGATTCAAGGTATATTGAACAACGTTATGTATAAGAAGCTAATTGTGAATATTTTGTTAATATATTTAAAAGTTTTCTGTCTAAATATCTATACGTCAAGCCATTAAAAAAAACAAGCTTTTGAAAGTTTGTACAGAAAGGTTTTCAAGTATACATTTGGAATTTATCTTAAGGAATAAGTTGCCAGAGCTACACTTAATATAGCTGCTGTAGATGAGGATTTAATTCAGGTTTATATTTATATCTCTTTTAAAAATGTCTAAAAATGCTAACTTTGTTACAGGGAAGGTAAACAGACATTATTAAAATATTCTAAGTATTTACACAATAGGCCACAAATGGCCCAAGGAAGTTTGTCACCATTTCTAGTATCTGCTTTCTGTGTTATTTCAACAAACTTCTTAAGGAGAAACAAGGAGAAGATTCTAAAGTGTAATCAGAAAAAAAAATTGGTCTAAATAGAAATATTGTTTTTCCTACCAGCTTATTGGAGATGGGGTTGCAGACCATTTTCAAACAATGGCTATTCCAGCACATTTTAAGGCATCTATTGTTATCAATTCTTTGAAGGCTGAAACTGATCAGCTATTTTGAATGGGAAAATCACAACTTGCCAATCTTGCTGATTCAAAGACATTCTGCAAAAGACCATGATTTGCAGTACAATAATGAATCCCACCCAGAAAGTAGCACATCAAAGTAATTCTTTTAAATGAATTGTTACTTTGCACAGTTGAGGAACAAAATATGTCTAAAATCAGGAATTGAGTGATTCTGGTTAACAAGTGTTTGCTTATAAAAACCATTTTAGTAAGCTTTACAAATTCTATTCAACATTCCAAAGTCACAGAATTGCTTCTTACTTTTTAAAATGCTTGTAACGCTGATGAATGTCAGCCTCTTTATAAACATGTGCATTGAAAACATTAAGTTTCTACATGCTATGTCATACCTGACCAGCAACAAAATAAGAGAAACCTAATAGTCTAATTGCATTCCTCACATTAATCGCCTAACCATAATTTATTTAAGGACTTTGTTAAATTCTTAAGTATTTGAATCAGTTTCTAAATAAATGAATTATGCATACTAATATTTACATATTTAAAATAGAGGCAAATTCTTTTTAAATTCATGAGATAAGCTATATGAATGATTCTTCTGTTGAATATTGAGTGTGGTTATGGCACAATTTTAAGTAAACATGATCCCTATCAACACAGTACTACAGAATTAAGCTAACAGTTTTAAAGTACACTGTTTACAGAGGGTATACATAGGACTTACATAACCAGATTCTTACAGATTTGTATTTTAACTAAATAAATCATCCCTCATAGAATTCTAAATCAGTGTTAGAAAAAGTACAAATATATACAACAATTGAAAATGTTAACACTACAATAAAGGCCCTAATAATTGGTGTTTGTTTTTCATGAGGGCCTATTTTTCATTGCCTGTAAAGCTATCATCTTAGTTCCCTGGTTGCCATCTTTTGTCTTTTGATCAGTCCAGCTTCCTGTCAGTCCAATAAGATGGAGAGAAAAGGAATCAAAACAGCATTGTCCAGCTTCACAACTATCATCACTAATTTTTCTGTCAGCTTCTTTTGTTTCCACAATCATTCCTGGTCCTTGCTCAGTTTGTAGGATAGTCTCAGACCCACATTTCCAAAATTACATGTTGTATGCTACATATATGGGATCCAGTTGGTCAGCCAAGAAACTATCACGAAGATGCATCCGCTGCTTCTCTCCTCTGGAATTGATGGGTATCACCCCAGGATCAACCACCACCACAACTCCTACAATCAGATAATGTTCTTCCAGGACCACATTGGTAACCAGAGGGACTAAATCAAGAGCTTCCTGCTCACAGCCACACAACTCCACAACCACTACAAGTAAATTGGTCCATGTGAATACAGCACTGAAAGAAAAGTAAGAAATCCAGAGTTTATTACACATATTTATAGAAATGAGTCTGAGATTTTTATTTTGTAAGACCATGCTAATATGTTTAAATACTTCAATTTTAAACTGAAAGACCCCCTGTCAAAAAAAACTCTCTTTAAATTAATGTTTTATGCATTCTGAAATGACCACTTGGAACAGGTCTAGTACAGTAATATACTCACTTTAAAATATATAAATCACTTCATGCATTAGTTTACAATAAATAGTTGTTTAATAAGTAAACTGAATTACAAATAGGAATATGATAAAGTATAATGCAAAATTTTAAGTTATAGTTATATAATCTATAAAATAGCACTGAATAGTTTGTTACTGTTCTCATATCAGTAATGAAATGAAAGCTGGGGCTATTATCCAAAACTCTATAAATACCATATGTTCAATTTAATATTTTTTTTCCAAAACACATATGTGAGTGCTCAGGATCCAGATTGCTCTGAATTTACAACTACAATCAGTAACTTTGTTTTCCTATTGCTACAACCTTGCTAAACAATGTAGTATTTCCCCAAAAGGAATATATTGCATAAAACTGTACCATTCTGCAATGCTCCTGTGCATTCGAGAAATGGAAGTTTCTATATCAATTGGATGATAACGCAATCCACGTAATTCCAGAGTTTCGTCCAGTGCCCCAACGACATACAATGCATCGTGGCGTTCTAAGGAGCATATTGTACATTAATATATAGATTTATGCAGATTCTTTAAAAAAGAATAAATATTAAATTTTCCTAATTGTTTAAAAATATATGGGGGATTAATTCTCAAAACTACAGGTAGTTCTCGACTTACAACCATTTGTTTAGTGATCTTTTGAAGGTGCAGCGGCACTGAAAAAAGTGACTTATAACCATTTTTCACACTGACAACCATTGCACTATCTCCATGGTCGCATGAGACTTGGCAATTGGTTCATATTTATGGTAGTTGCAGTGGCCTGGGAATCACGTGATCACCTTTTGCGGCCTTCTGACAAGCAAAATCAATGGGGAAGCCAGATTCACTTAACAACTGTGTTACTTGTCCTCCAATAACGGCATGCTAAGCAGCGGTCATCTTTTTTCCTGCAGACAAACAGCTGATTTTGCCACCAAAGCTGGTTGTTTGGTGGTGCGCTCCCCAAATTTGAACAGAGCAACTAGGAATGATCTAAGATGACCCTCGGACAACCGTGTACCTACCTGGGAAGAATCACGACAGTTGCAATTCTGGGCAGGAGAAGCTGAAGAGACGGATCTCTCTCTTTTCTTTTCAGCTATTTATCTTAAGCATGCCTTGGTTTTAGCTGCACATTTTTATTTTTACTTTTTATTTTTATCTTTAACTATTAATTAACCGGTTGAATGCTGACTTAATTTAACCCCTTGGGGATTTTAATGTGAATTTTTTGCATCTTTTTATTACTTTATTTTGGAGTTGCGAATCACTTTCACTGTCCCTGTATGGAAGTCGATAGCAATTTCCTTAGTAATGAAAACGATCTGATTTGATTTACATTTACACAGATTTTTCAATACAAGGATTTTGCACTCCATTAATTTTTAAAAGCTCTTATTTTTTTTTTTAACTTCTGATAGGACAGACCATAGATAATGACTGTGGTGGTTTATGGTAGATCAGAAGGCAATTTGGTCTTTCTGCATGTGAAATACAATAATGCAGACATGTCAAACTCGCGACGTCGTCACACAACGTATTGGGACGGTTTTGCCATTGCCAGCAATGAGGTGGGCATGGCTTCCGGATGACGCGTCTGGCCCGTGGGCCAGCAGTTTGACACCCCTGCAATAATGGATTGTTAACAGAGAGATTTGAATTTTAACTTTGCTTTTGACTTTACCTATTAAATATCTTTTTTATATACTAGATAGATGCCAAGTCAAATTGGTTGGGTGAACAGTTGTAGAAGTTTATAAACTGTGGGCCTATTTTGCAAGGAGGGGGAAGCTATTATTCTTGAAATATATCAGTGTTCAACTAGGGGGGACAATCTGTGGGTATGTTTGTCTTTTTCTACACATTTTTTTTCTATGTCTTGTTTAGTTTTGCTTTGTTCTTGTATCCCCCCCCCCTTTTTGGAGTCTGTATTTTAATGTTGTCAATAAAATAAAAAACTTATTAAAAAAACTGTGTTACTAATTTAACAACTGCAATGATTCACTTAAGAACTATGGCAAAAAAGGTCGTAAAATGGGACAAAGCTCACTTAACAACTGTCTCACTTAGCAACGGCAATTTTGGTCTCAATTGT